CCCCACACTGTACCCCAAAAGTGCATTAATGTACATAGTTACCATTCAATAAAAAAAAAAAAGAATTGAATTTTGCATATGGTGTCCTGATCCATATGGCAACTTCAGACCAGATCACTCAGCAGTGTCCTTTCCACAACATTTAGTAAATTTTGACTCTTGATAAGAATGACGAAATAATGACAAAACAAGTAGTTAGAAAAAAATAAGTCCATCTTACCTCTGGCCTGTTTCCTCAAGGACTCCCAATTGATTAGGTTCAGCTGCAGGTAACTAAACACCCCAAATTTAGATTTAAAAAAAATTTCTCTGTCTTATAAAAACTAGGTAGGCATTCCAGGCTGCTTTGGTGGCTCCACAGTGACCAGAAAGCTGACTTCCTCTCTTGTTTCTCCACCATTCTCAGGATGTATCTTTCAAATGATTGTCCAGTGTGTCCGCTCCAGCTCTAAGCATCACATCCACATTCCAGTTATTGGAAAAGTCAGAAAAGGAAGAAAAGGAACACCTTGCTATTTTCAAGATCACTTTTACTTTTACCCAGTGGCCATAATTTGACCATGTGGCCAGCCCTATTATATAGTGAGACTGAATGAAGACAAACTTTATTCTGGGCAATGATCCACCAGCTAATATCCATTAATACAGGGAAGTGGATTTTAGGAGATATAAGTGGATTCTGCCACAGCGTGATAGAATAGTCAAGCATAAAGTCCCCCCCGGCTTCATTCGGCGTGAGGTAGGGTCTGATCAATTCATGCGTCTGGGCCAGATCTGGGTCTTGGCACCCACTACTCCCTTTTAGTGATTTTATCTTCTCCATCAGCTGCGGTAAAGCAGACACAGCAGAATCATCTGTTTCTTTTACTCCTTGAATTGCTTTTATTATTCCTTATGTACATCAGTAGAAGCCTAGTACAAAAGTATGAAAGGAATTCCCCTAAAAATTTAAATTGATTGTCTATCCTAAAATTGCTTTCTGGGGAATTTATTTTTACTTAATGATACTTTCTTTTGAATCCTAAAT